CAAAGAGTTTATTTTGGTTTCCTTCAGATTAAGCTTTACTGAAGCCTTCGCCATAAAAGAGAAAATATATTTTTAAAACTTAATGTCTTTCTGTCATTATTTTTGAGCAAATCGTACGAATGAATGGTTTCTAAACAATTCACCGCAAAGTCTACATTAAATCTGTTTCAAAGATTGTTAACTTTTTTGTATTATTTAAAGTCTTGATAATTGGAATCGTTTTTTGTCAGACTTATGGCTTTACGGCTCGTTTCAATTGAAATGCTCAGGGTTTAAGAGCACAGAATTTGACTAAATCTGGAGAGAGAGAGAGGAGTGAGGAGAGAGAGAGAGAGAGAGAGAGGACAACAGCTGTGAATTGTTTGAATGTTTTATTCTAAAAGCCATTGAGTTGTTATGAATGAGCGGCGGATCTGTCGGATCTGTATTGAGCTGAATATCAGTCAAATAGGAATACATTAGCCTTTATGTAGACTATGACCTAACAATGGACTATAAAAGATGGGCACAAATATTATCGACTTATTCTTCGCAACTAAAAGACAACTCTATATTAAAGGACTGATGAAGTAATGTCTTGTGAGCCCAACATTAGCTCTATTAATGTGCCGGAGCTCTGCCAACGCTATAATGGCTCCAATCTTATGGATGATATAATTTATGACTGAAACACAATATCTTTTTTAAATTATACACAAAAAGTCATTTTATTTATTTTAAGGATTCATAAAAAATGACTCAAAGATGCGATTGATTTTTATATTTCATATAAAATTTTTATCATTTCAGATGTCCTTAAAAATGAAGTTTTTTAAATTCAAATATCTCTCAATAGATTTAGTATAAAGTTTTTATGGCGAATACATACTATATTATAGAGTAGGGATAGATATGATTTGAAACATATTTTTGAAACATTGATTTTGAAAACTTGCAAAACTTATGACTTGACTTCACAAAAAAGAGAAGAATTCATTCATCAAATTGTATACAAAATAATGTTTCGCTTTCTAAACATGCATTCAATAAAACCATTCAATTGTCCCAATAATGATGTTTTGTGTCTTAAGTCTTTACGTCTCATATATTCAACAAAATACTAATAGATTAAAGAAATAATGATCTGTTCATCAACTGAAACAAATGGATACAACTGTCTAATGAAACCAACACTCAATGCAATTCACTTTTATTCAAAGCTTAATACTTTCACATTATAATGAACTATATTTATTTTAAATGTGATAAAAATTTAAATATAGTATTATATATTTATATGTGTTATAATTTTGTTTGTAAAAACTGTATAAACCTATAATTCTGAACATATTTCAAAGTATTAATATAATAACAAAAGAGATAATTTGATAATTTATTAAATTATAATAATTCTCATGTTTGTTTTAGTTTACCAGTATACGGTAAATAAATAAATATGGTTAGATATGCCGTAGTTATATTTTATATTATTTACAAAAAGTTATTCTGAACTTATTTGATTGTTAAAACTGCAAATTTCTATTTTAAACTTTATTATTAAGAAAATTTGTGTAATTTATTATGCATTCAATTGATTTAAATTACATGTAAATTTTAACATTTTCTACTCTTACTACTTATACAATAAATTATTTAATAAATTTTTATTTTTATAAATTCATTTTATTTCATCTGAATGTTTGCTAAAATACTATACTTTTAATGTAATTTAAGGAATTATATTTTCACAATGTAAACTTTACATAATCTATTAAATTCAAAAGTATCTAAACTGTTGTGAATTTATTTATATTCTCTGCACTAATATATTATAATTCAGTAATAATGTTGGACTCGATTTGTCTTTTTTGAACAATTATAAGCAAATGAATGTAATATCTTAAGCAATATTAATGTTGAGATCACTTCACTATTTCATGAATAATTTTTGTTTTAAATGACACATTGAAAGTAATCTCTACAGTAATGTAATGAATGGCACAGAATTTTACTATTTCGGTATTCGCTTTATGTATAATATATTATATGAATAAATATAGTAAAATTACATATATAGTATTACATATATAGTATATACATTATAGTAATACAAAATATAAATAGTGAAATTTTATTTTAAAAATACTTCTGTGAATATTCTCTATTAACATATTGTTTAAGTTATACATATTGTATAGTTACTATGCTTTAACTGTAAAATTGAATTGATTTCTCAGAAAAGGATTAGAAAGATTAAATGCATTTTATGTCAATTTGATTTATATTTAAATACTATGTCTTAAAACTTATTTAAAATTAAAATTTTATATTTGTCTATATTTTTCATTTTAGTTAATGCTTAATTAAATGCATATTTTAAATAAACTTAAAGCTAGTTAAATTCCTGTATAATTCATAAATCGATAAATAAAGAAAACTTTGTTATTAGTCTGTTTTGTAAGATTTAAGAAAGATATGCTTAATATTAATTAATACAATGAAATTTTATTATAAGTAAGTGTTTAATATATTTTTCCGATAAAATCAAATACCTATATTTTTAATCATAGTTATTAGTCTGTTTTGTAAGATTTAAGAAAGATATGCTTAATATTAATTAATACAATGAAATTTTATTATAAGTAAGTGTTTAATATATTTTTCCGATAAAATCAAATACCTATATTTTTAATCATCAAATTTTTGTCCATCACTTCTGACACTTTATTTTAAAAAGTAAGATACAGTATATCATCGGACTTTACTATATATCTTGGAATATTTCCTGTCCACTAGTCTCACCATGGCACAAATCATCCATGATTTTGAATTAGTTTCAAATTAAAGTTGAAGATTATTTTGATGATGTGGTATAACCATAAAATTTTACTTACGAGTTAACTTGTAGACTTTTATTACTACAGTAGAATATTGATATTTCTTATACATTAAGTTATGATTTATAAACAAAACATATTCATTGAAATCTTCTTTAAAATGACTCATAAGTTATACTGTATTAAAATTACAGTATTATAGTCAACAAACATTTTACAGGAGTCCAAGTATTTTGAATATTATAAAATAAAAGATTAAATTTTTCAATTAATTCTGATATTATATATTAAATGTGAAATGTTTACTGCAAACTGATCACCTAACATACTCCTGTCGCACATCATTGGTTCAAACTATTTATGCAAATCGTATATATTGTCGACAAAGACTAATATTGAATAAAAATATATGTGTAAAACACGAATAAATATTATAAGACATACAACTGTGAACTGTTACACAAATGTCTTTTAATATTCTGCAAAACTGCAAGAATTTTGAGAAATGTCAACATTATACTGACAGCAGTATATCTGTCCACAGATTCTATGCCTTGTATTATACTAAATATTTGTACATGAAATGCATTTTTGCAAAATATAGCAATATTTGTTACAAAACAATTTTGTTTATAAAGTTAATATAGTTTTGCAGTACTTTTAAGGTAACTCTTAAACAAGATACAGAATATATATCTAAATATACTGTAATAATAAGAAATGACTAAATATAAGGTATGGTTATAAATAAAATATGACCACGTTTTCACTGTATTTCAAACAAAAGATTCTCAACATTCAGTCTGAATAAAGTTTTCCAAGTTGTTATAATTATTGGTAAGAAAAAAACTATACGAATGGCAACAATAAGACTATTAAATATTTACCAGATTATATGATTTATTATATGTACTGATATCCGAATAAAACATTTAAAATGAATGCTCGTATTAACATTTATTTTTAATAGCTACCTGTACAGAATATTCTAATATAAAAATTATCTTGATACATTGAAAGCACATTAAACTCATAGTTTATTCAAATCTATTTCAGTATTACATAATTGCTGTCAATCTGTTCAGTGTAATCATTTACAATCTTATGACATTCACAAACTTATGACATAAGAATGCATTTATTATTAAAATATAGGCATAATTGTAAATGTGTTTTACCTAAAACAAGTTTCAAATAAGTAAAACCCAATCAAACACTGTTTATAAACTTTTGAAGCGAGTCTTAATCGTTGAATTTGTGGTTTGAATGAATCTCTGATAAGAAAATGTGAGCAAAAAAATAAGCCAACGATTGACTAAACTTATGTCTCAAGTGATAAAAAATCTTTTACATTGTTTTCTAATGTTGTTTAATGTAATAAACATTTAAAGGTTTAGACAAATGTTTAAACAATTTATTTATGTGTGAATTGAAAACTCCCGGGAAATCAATGTAAGTATATATTTGAGAGTCCATTGAAAAACGGAAACCTTAAGTGAAATCGAAAGGACGCCAAAGAACTCATTGGAGACGACAAACACTCGCTTTTATTCAATACAACAGACTTTGGGAAATGTGTTCAACACTACAATCCAATGCTCCAAAGCCGTCAACACTTCTCTTATGTATTCTTTGCTTGTTTTTAGGGAAAAATTTGAGATAAATTTGAAATTTAAATTCTTTATTGCCTTAGATTTCAATTCTTATGGTTTTTCTTTTTTAAGAAAAACTTGAATTTTATGTCTACTTACAAATAAAATCAATGAATTGCATACATTCCCTTCGCATCGCATTATAATTGAATTTTTAACTTGTTTTCCCATTCAATCAGTCGTTGATTACTTTATTTCTTGAATTTTAAATTATTCATTTAGTTTTCAATTATTTTTAAATTAAACCAAAACTCTATTAAAGGTTTAACTATTTTTTAATTACGGTAAAAAGATTTCAAAAACTAATGTTTACATAAAATCAGAATAGTTTTGATAAATTATAGACATTTGGGTTGTTTCGCTATAAAGGCTTAAAATTTAGAAAAACCATAAATATTTATAAAATTCAGAGTAAATTATCATTTGACAAGAAATCTAAATAGAAAAAAAAGAAAATTACATTAAATTTTGATTTTCAAAAATCTCATGAAACATACTTTAAGTCAAAGATTTAAATAACTTATAGACAATCGTAGACAACATATCATATAAAAACGTGGTTTAAAAAATGAATTCAATTAAATAATGAATCGATTGTAGTAACAAATTTATTATTATTATTAATTTGTATATAAATATGATTTAAAATAATATCTAAATTAATCAAAACGTCTTCCTGTGGACAGCCCTCTGTCCCTCTTCATCGAACTCTTTGCGCGAAACCCACATCCGTTTGAATGTGTCTAAACTGGCGAGGATTGAGCCGCCAATCCATGTGGAGTACAGGCGCTCCTGAGGGGCACTGATTCGTATCTTAAGGTCTTTGGGCGCCATTTTGCGCACTTCGTTCAGCAGCCGATCGCCGAATCCCTTGAATAGAGTACTTCCACCGCTTAAGACAATGTTTTGGTAAAAAACTTTTCTGAGATCTAAATCTGATTTCTGAATACTATAGACGAGCACTTCGTGAACGCCTTCGAACTCATAGCCAATCAGATCGGGTCGGAACAGAATCTCAGGCGCTCTCATGCGCGGACCGGCGCTTATGTCCACATTACTGCCATCCGGTAATATATACGATGTCTTCTCGATGTCGGCGCCACTTCCGGCCGAGTGTTCGTCGAGTGCCCGCTGAGGGTTTGACGTCAAGTAACAGATTTTCTCCTTTATATTCTTCACGACTTCGAACTCAGCCGTTGTGTTGAATATTAGGCCCTCTTTTCGCAATAATAGCTTCAGATATCGGGTCACATCCCGGCCCGCAATGTCTGAGCGCACTATTGACAGCGGAAGTGCGAAGCCTTCGTAGATGGGAACGGCATGTGTGACACCATCGCCCGAGTCCAACACCACACCAGTCGTACGGCCTGTGGCGTAGAGACTGAGCACAGCTTGCATTGAGATGAAGAGCGCCGGTACGTTAAACGTCTCGAAGAATATTTCGGCCGATTTCTCACGATTTCTTCGCGGATTTATCGGCGCTTCTGTTCACACAAATGGTTCACTCGTTTAGTCACAAACCCATTGCTTAACCCATGACTGGCATACCTGTGAGAAGGACGGGGTGTTCTTCGGGGAATGTCTGCAACTGTTCCTTAGAGTAGATATACTGCCATATCTTCTCCATTTCGTTCCAATCGGTCACAATTCCCTTCTCCATGGGATACCTGAGCGTCAGGAGACCCCTGTGCTCGTCCGCACGACGCCCTACACACACACACATGGGTTCAGTGAGTGGCCGACAATCAAGTGGTCCACAGATAGCTCACCGATGAAAGTGTCGCCCTCGAGAGCGCCGGCCATCACCCGCACGTGTTTGGGACGTCCGACCAGATTAGAGAAAATGCATTTCGGGATCTGGTCGCCAGCGAAACCAGCTTTGATCACACCTTCGAGGAGACACTCCACTCATTAGTCACGAGTCAACACATCGCCACTCAATACCTGATCCATTGTCGATGACGACCGGCTGATTCACCATTACATCCAAATCCATGTCTGTATTGATTGTTCACAACTGGTCCTGGGATTCAATGCACCAAACATTACACTCGCTGTCAATGCAACCAAACATTTGTTGTGACAATACTTACCAAATGTTTGAAACTTGATTACAATCGCTGAACAAATGTCACTCAAAACAGGTGTCAATTGAATAGCATTTGAATGAATAGCTTATAATTGATGTCAACTTAATTACACCGAAAGCCAAACCAAAGTGTGAATCAAATGCTGTGTTTTGTAAACCAATTCAATTGCAAAGCATTTCTATTGAAATCAACAATACATTCGTGTAATAAATAACGATCACTATAGCAATCAAACGCCTTTCCCATCAAAACATATGACACACAGTACTGCAGTCCAGCCTATAGTGACGTCAACACTGATAGCGACACCAGTGGTATGGTTGTTGGCGTCAGTAATGCTTAGCCAATGGGCAGAGTGTGCCACACATTGACCACAAGCGCACATACAGTGAGTTGTATTGAATGTGATATTTATTTACATTTCGCACTCATTGAGTGCCAAATGAGGTTTCATTGACTCTCATGTCAAACGATTACTTAAAACTCAATACTATTTACATTTGAATCACATTTCTGTGGATTTACTTAAATTACAAACAAATGACAAAACCATTGATTGCTATCTCATTGGCAGCGCCTCTTCGGCCGATGTCTGCGATTGTCATCAATTGAGTCCACAGTTGACGACAAGATGTCTGACTATATGTTACCACTGATGACAGTGTCGATGACGGTGTCAATGGTTGTGTCGATTGTGGTCTGCATTTGTCGTCGCAAAGCGAAGACCACATCCCATGTGAACAACGGACACAACTTATTGCCATTGAATTCAATCCGCTCTTCAGATCTGACCAACAATTTGGAACTCATTCGCTATAATGGAGTCAATTGTGTGGTCACTGATGACACTGACGGCCACTTAAGACACACTCAACGCGCGCTTCCGGACATCCCATCGACGGCCAACTCTTCGCAACATTTGCCGAGCGGTGAGTATGACGTCAACCGCGATGTCATCGATGCTATTGAAGCCAAACACAAGTCAGAGCCCAAGAGTAGGTCATCGAAGGCAAGAGCGCCGCAACCGCCCACTCATCGGGTGATGACGTGTCCGACGGTTCCCGCGGACGACAACTTCCACCACTCGTACGCCCGCATCAAAGACAACGCTGTCGTCGACTCGTCTGAGAACGAAACGGACGACTACTGCGATCCACAGCTCTGTTCCGTCCGCCCCGTCATCCACGACCGCCTCACCCCTCCCGTGCCCTCCAAACGCTTTGTCAACGATTTGAGTAACGATTTGCCATTCATTGCGTCCAATCCGTCGACATCGAGAGCGGGCCAGGAGATGGCATACATGGCTCCCGTCGGTCACGTGCTCGACGCCAATGAGGACTCGTTTTCTCATTCATCCAGTGATGAGAACCGCTTGAATGGACACAAGAGTGAGATTTCGTACAATACTATATCAGTTCGCGAACCACTCGCCAAAGTATTGGCCGAAAGGGCTAACTCTGAGCACCACTACAACGAAGTGGAGGACGAGAGGGTCTCCTCTTTCTATGAAGAGATCGCCGGATCGACCGCCTCTTCAGTCACTTATTCCAAAATCGGAGACATTTTGAGTAATAATAATAATAGTGTTTCCCGTAATTCTAATCATGAAATACCAGACATGACTCGCAATGGATCAGTGGTTCACTCATACCCTTTGGACACAACAGACTCGCCATCATCTACTCAAACGCATCAGTCATTTGCAAACATTACTCCAAATTGTGATCCATTTATACCCAATAATTATCCGAAAGACTTGTACTCATCAGTCGATAAGAAATCCAAATCCAAGTCATATAACAGACAAACCATTCATTGTATCCCCGATTCGGACAATGAATTTGATAATCTGTACGCAAAAGTACAGAAACCAATGAATCCGTCGAAAGATCACGTGTTTTATAATAATCAAAGGCCTTCGAGTGTGAGTGATGTGGACTCGTCTCTATTGTCGGACAATAGTATTCCTCCTCCACTGCCACCGCCGTTGAAAAGTTTTCATCCGAATCAGTCTCGAAGCTCGCGAACCATCTCTTTGTATGACTCATCCAATTCTGCTTCAAATTCTAATACGGGTTCACATCAGAGGAGGTATTCCTCCGGAAACCAATCGATTGCTGCAAATGATTGGCAGAAAAGGGATTTAAATAATGATTACTTCACGTATGCAGTGGTCGGCGGCAATGAAATAGATTTAGAGAGTGATCCCGGGTATGAAGTGATACAACGTAAAAAAGTCAGTACAACGCATACCAGTGCCACCGCCAGCACCAGCTCTGGTCCTCATCTCAATGGTCTTCACTCGTCATCAGCAGCTGATCCGGGATATGAAGCCATTCATTACGACGAGTCAGACTTCGACCCCAACTACGAAGTTATCACCAAAAAAGTCAATACAAACCCACAAATCAGTGAAACCGTTGATCCCGGCTATGAAGTGATCAAAAGAGTGCCAAAAAATCACACTAAAACTCATTCAACAAATCATTTTGAACTCAATATTAGCCGCAACTTAAGTGACGTGTCATCAGAACCGGGATATGAGAGGATTAGGTTCACCCAAAAGGTGGTCCAACCCATGGAATCGGAGCCAAACTATGCGTCCATTACTAGAGCTGACGGGTTGTATGGAGACGAGTACGACGACGAGACCATTAGTGAACGATTATGACTGCAAACGCTTAACCATTAATGTATAGAAAATACGAAAATTTGTTCAAAACTCAAGAATTTTATTTCATAATAGCTTTGAAAGCGCTTTAATTAATATCTGTTGTAATGTCTATTAATTTAATTAATTTATTAATCATATTATATGTAAAGATATTTATTTACTAAATTTTCAAACTATTCTAATACTTAGAAATATAGAAATACTTTATTTCGCATAAATTCACATCAAATATCATCTTAATATTGATTATTACCGTACTTTGAATAGTTTAAACTTATATTTAAGTTGTCAATTAATTTACACTCATATATACTGTACAAAAACGCTTAGACTATTCTATCTAATGTTTAACTAGTTTATTTTTAATGAAATCATCTTAAATTTTAATCATTATTTGGTTGTTAAATGAAATGAATAATACAAAAGTGTTATAATATCTTAAATTCTATAAAGCGCTCAACTTTTCTATCAAATTGTGGGTTATTTTGAAATTCAAAATTAATTCTCAACTCTAATCAAAACCTTTTACAATAATATGTTTTATTTGTGAAAATACAATATAAATAAATACAATATTTGGAAATGTATTTTTGAATTTCATTAAAAAAGATATCTTAAATGTTTAAAAAAAAACTTATATAAAATGAGATTAAAATAAATACTAAAAACGAGATAAAACTCATGTCTTATTCTTTTTGCTCAAAACTCTCATCAGATTACGAGACATATAATAGGGTTTCTCTTGTGAGCCATCATTTCGTTCGCAGTCTTCAACTGAATAAAAAGCAAACATTATTTTCAATGAGATTTATAGATAATAAATAAGAAATTAATTACGAAAACATAAGAATAGTGTGTCGACTGCCATGTGATAAACGCTGAAAAAACTGCTGGCAATGAGATAAGTGCCAATTGTTATGACCTGTTAATGGGCAAACATTTATTGTTTAAGGTATTGAAAATCTGTACGAAAAATGTGATAGCTAGAATACTGACAACTATAGGAACCCAATTATAATGTAGACTAGGAATTGAGATGAATTCAAATTTCTGAGTAAAAACATAGAATGAAAGGACGGCTACAATGGAAGTGACCGTCAATTTGCCGATTATTAGCAACAGATCTGTCACTTTGTCCAACACTACGGCTCTGTTTCACAATAATATAAACAAAATAAATAATAAGATGAATAGAAAGTTATTTGAGAGGTGAGTGCAAACCGAGTGGCATTCCTCAGTATCAGAGAGAACCCATTGGATGCTGAGCTACAGAAGCCTTTGCCATAGATTGCGATCATTATGTATGCATTTTTGTTAATGAATTTCATAAACGATTCCAATAACCAAAAGAAACACCGACAACAACTGTGTGTTCAATATTAACAATTAATTTAAATCAATTATTCAATACATATAATCGTTTTATTTATTTATTTACCACACAATTGCTTTTGCAATGCAATTATTGGCATATTTCTTGCATTTCTTGTCGATATATTCAATAATAATTCTAATGAATCGAACCGTTGCTATAAGTAGTGAACCCAATGCTACTGAACCGATATGGTATCTAAATTATATAATACATTTCAATTGTATATATTATATAAGTACAAATTAAAATAAGTTAATAATATAGTGCTAATTAGTATACCTGAGACAGCGATAAAAACCACCGAAAACAGCAAAGAATGGCACTTCTTTTGGTTTCTTAAATACCCAGTAATATGAGGCAAAAGCACCCGCAAGACTTACTTGACCTAACATTCACACATATATTGCAAGTTTTAATATATACTGTTGTAGTTGCATAAGTTATTATGTTAATCAATTTGTTTTGTTTAATTTAAAATATAAATGTCAGACTTTTGTGTAATTATTAATGATTAGTACACAAAGTATTTTTAATTTACGATCAATTAAAAATATGGCATATAGGAATTGAGAATAATTAAAATGTAAAAAACATACCAATTCCTATTACAAAGAATAGTCCCCAAAGAAGTCCAAATAAGTTATAGGCTTGAGCTGCCATTATAACATTGTCCTCATAATATTTTATAAAAATACATTTCTTTGTAATGGTATTTGAGCTTAGGTTGGGATCTGACTGTACACACAAATAGTTTTATATTAGGTTTTATCATTTATTAAATGTTTGCATACATTGGGAGTGCATTCCTGCCCAGTCTGAGGGTCACGATAGTTAGCCCGAGCAGAGGCTGCGATCATAATAGCGACTGAACCCCAGAAACAGATTACAATTAATTGCAGAATATATGGAATGATGGGAAAGAATAGCGAAGACTTGACACACGAGACGGCCCTATATGTAGAATATTGTATTGGTTTTAAAAAGTTTAATAGAGAATATAGAATAACCAAATATAGACACCCATACCTACTGGCCTCCTCTATCAGTGCAATGGCTAATTTGATACGTTTCCGTAAATATAATAAGACTAAAATCATAACAAATAATATTAAGGCACAGATTATACTGAATGCAAACCAAGTTTTGCGATTTGTTAGATATGAGTCTAATCCTGTGTCCATTGATTTCCGGAAATTATATTGGTTTGCATTTAATGTGTCATTCCTATTGTCATCACTTTCACCTAAATCTTTATAGCGATTAAGTGAATAATAAAGTCCATAGGCATTGAGGACCACAACTGCCAGTAATGAAAACCAAATCATGATTTGTGCGAACCATTGCATGCATACAATCCATGCAAATGATACAATCATAGCTAACGCCAGTCCCCTGTCAAATAATTTTTGGTTAAATAACATTAAGACTTTGTTTGCCAAAAAATATATACACAAAAATCCATTTAAGTGTTTGGTCCAAATCGTGAATAATTTTTATGCCAATTTCCCGAGCGTTCAAAAGTAACACAATTGCTCTGAAATCATACAAATTGTTGTTTATAAATGTTTGTCATTTGTAAAGTTGTAGTCATTAACTGATTTGTTTTTTTAATTCTCTCCAAATCGATGGCAGTATTCTCGTCGTCCGAAAGCGTCACCCCTTTGTTCTTCTCGTCGATCACATTCTTGCCGTTCATTGAGAGCAATGATGGGATACAACGCCCCCCGAAGGGCTCGCTCTTGAAGTAAATTCCGGCGCATTTGTCATCTTTTATGAGTTGTTGGAAATTATCATTAGTTGGGATCACATTATATCTACATATTATTGAGTTCTTGTAATTAGCATCCAATTGAGTCAAATGATACAAAGAAAATGTTTGGTCCGGACACTGAGACACACAGACCTGGTGTTGAAATGCATGTCAAGAATGAACAATTAACAAATTAACACTGTAAAAATATACAATATATTTTATACCTGGGGTGTATCGCATCTATCAAAAATATTTTCGTTTATGTTTTTGGCACATTTCAATAAATTGAAGAAAAACAAATACGGCTTATCACTGCATGAAATTTTATGTTAATATCTTTGATATTATAAATATAATTTATAATTTATAACCGATAATCTCCCCGGCCACATATGTTGCCATAAGTGTCTGTCGGATATATTAATTTCTCTGGATTTCCACTAATAAACCCTATGTTTAAGTAAAATAATCTACAATTAAAACTTTCTATTACTGTGGATTACTAAGCTTATATCGCACCTAAAATCGCGATTATTATCCAACCGGTGATGAAAGCAATGAAAACAAGTAGACATAGAATATCAGTACAACTTCGGCTTTTTATGGGTCCTTTGAATGACGGGTCATATGTTAAGGATTCGCCTGTTTTTAATAGATATTGCGATATATTATAAATTAAAAATTTTAATTTAAAATATAATTTTGAAGCTTTATATAATAAAACTGTATGTTGTAAAGAATATTTCTTAAAATGCAATTCTTTGGAAATTGCAAATAATACTAGTTTTTTAATTTTTACATAATATATTATAATATATATTATATTGATATAAATTAACATTATTAAGCTATTTTAATTATATCATACTTTTATTGTGACAATTTTACAATATGACAAACTTAATATAGATATTTTGGGAAAGTTATAACTTAACCATAATATGGGGTTTTATTGACACGGAAGGGATGGG